TCTAAAAGGAAGCAACTGGATTGTCCTTTTGTTATTGTGCTCTAAATAAATTTTCCAAGTGGAAACTTGTTAACCCTGACCATTGCTCCTATGTCTGCTTATATGCAAGACCTCCTCCAGCAAATCAATCCTTACATTGTAATGGCACTCACTTGACAAGATATGTTTGGCTTAGTGCACTGCTGCTATTTGTTCTGTGTGCAGCATCACAGAGGGATGTGATGTGTAAGAAAACTGAACAGAGGAGCTCATTGATATTCACGAAGGGCAAAGACAGCTGGCTGTGAAGCACAGTAGTGAAGTGAGGAAGGACTCAATTGCCCTCATTGCTCTGTGATGTACTGAGGGTACCCAATGGAAGTTTAAAATAAAAATAGAGATGAACACTTCTGAGGCCACTATATCTTTCATAAGTATTACTCTTCATCAACAGTTCTTTGCTGATGTTCCTTTGGCTTTCTTTGTTCATCCTTGCTATTCCCTTTTTCCCTAATGAGAGCCCCTCAGCCTCCCAAATAAAGGAGGGACCAGACAGTAATCTTAGAGAATCACAAGGCAGGGGATTTGATTAGTGAGTGGATGTCATGTAGGTGCATTGCCCTGAAAAATGCTCTATGTAAAAGCTTCCCTGGTCCAGGAGGCACCAACCCTCAAAGACATTTCCCTGAAGCACTGTCTCTCCAATGCTTCTTGCTTGGTCTGCCAAGGGGAGGTGAAAATAGAAGAGGAGAAACTTCACATTTGGAAAGGTGAAGACTACCATCCAGCTAATTCAGCTCAGTGGCTTTGCAGCAGTCTGGGGTCAAAGGTTTGGATGGGTCAGAATACATCCACCATCCTCTTTCCCATCAGTCCAGAACCAAAACAGTGAGAGAGGAACCTTTAAACAGGATATTTTAAAATTTCTCCTTCTCCTTTTTTCTTCTCCTAGTCCTTCTCCTTCTCCTCCTCCTTCTTTTTCTACTCTTCTCTTTCTTCTTTTTCTTCATATGACACTTGGGATGACATTGGACTGAAGCTAGAGTTCAGAGCTTGACTCTGAAGTTATTTGTTCAGCACATTTAATAGAGGTAGTGTAGTGCAGTGCACCAGAATTCCTTAGCCTGGCCTTGTGTTTATGCATGCAACAAAATACATTGAAGCACAGATGAATATTTGTAGAGAGCTGTGGAAATAAAAGCAGAAACCTCAGTTCAGTTACCATTTACCTACAAATATTTTCTTAAATAAAAGGGAAGGAGCAGATCATACACCTTAAAACCATTTCCTGACAAAACTCAAAGGGTTATAGTGTTTGGTATTACATTAGGTTTGTGGCCAGTTACTAGTGGGGTTCCACAGGGCTCCATTTTAGGGCAGTTCTCTTCAAAGTTTTCATAAATGATCTGGATGTAGCACTTGAATGCATACTAAGTTTCCAGGTGACACAATACTAAGAGGAGCCATTTACTCCCTCCAGGGTATATAAGCCTTGCAGAGAGATCCTGAAAAATTAACATACTGGGCAATCACCAACTGCATGAAGTTTAACAAGAGGTGGATTCTGCACCTGGGATGAGGCAATCCTGAATATACATTCAAGCTGGGGAATGAGAGGATGAAGAGCAACTCCATGGAAAGGGATGATTTTTGTAGAATCATATAATTATTTAGGTTGGAAGAGACCTCCAAGATCACCTAGCCCAACCTTTGACCTAACACTAACGAGTCCTCCACTAAACTGTATCACTAAACTCTACATCTAAATGTCTTTTAAAGAGGATGGTGACTCAAGCACTTCCTTGGGCAGCCCATTCCAATGTCTAAAAACCGTTTCAGTAAATAAGTTTTTCCTAATATCCAACCTAAACCTTCCCTGGTGCAACTTTAGCCCATTCACTCTCATCCTATCACCAAGCACATGGGAGAATAGACCATCCCAGCTTCATAATATTTGGCCAGTAATTCTCTTCAACCCCAAGAAATTCTAATCTCTGCTTTGGTTTACATCCCACTGCAACACTAGTGGAATTCATTGTTGCAATCTGATTCAGCTGCATATATACTGTATAAAAATTTCATAGCCTCATGAGTATGAGGCTTGCTCATTACAACAAGGTGACCTTGCTAGAAATATGCCCTATGACCTTTTTCTTTTCTTTTTGAAGTCAAATAAATAAATAAATACACCAAAAATAAACAAACAACAAATAAACAAACAGAGTAGTAGAACAAATGTTGGAATCAGTGGAACAAACTTACCCCTAGGTAAGGATATCCAGTGTGACATAACTGAGAGGTATATTCAGAGGGCAAAAGACCTTTTCTGGTCTTCTGTTCTGATTGTGATACATTCCTTTCCTGACATAAGGTTGTGGACTATATTTGTTTCCCTCTGCCCTTTTAGTACCTAGGCTTGTTTTTATCTCTGTCCCAGAATCAGAGTTCATGACACCACACATTACAACTGAATGATACCACATGACATCTGATCATACAGCACACTGGGGCTGTTTCTCTGATACTCTACATTACACCTCCAGATATGCTTACATTTTAAAAATTTATATTTTATTTTATTTATTTTTTATTTTTATTTTTTTACTGTGTCTTCAATCTGAGCTGACTAAGCCCAAGTCAAGTTCAGGCTATGGGTGGCATCTGTTTTGGTGGCCTCACACTTTGATCTGCACAATAGAGCAGGTAATAAACTGTTTTAGTACATCTCTACCCTATCCAGGAAGCTCAGAGGACAATGAAGGTAAGTTCCCATCTGTCTCCAAAAGACTCTATAGACTTCCACTGAGTCATGAGCTGGACTTTGCTAATGTGTAATGAAATTAATTAAAAACTCTCCCTTCCCCCATTATTGGTTAAATATTATGACTCACCTGGTTGCTTTGTGAGGATAATAAAACTTGACAGGATTGGGGAGGGGGGAGGGGGGGGGAAGAGAAGGGATGCAGAGGAAGGAGAGGATGCGAGATGTTTCTTCTTCTTTGTGTCTTTTTGGCTTCTTACTGCAAAGTCACATTCTGTCACATTATATACACACCAAAATATTTAGAAACACGTAGGGCAAAGATCAGCTTGCAAACATGAGTTCATGAACTCTGCCAGCACACAGATCTCTCTGTCAGAGCAGCACAGCATCCCAGAGGCAAGTCAAACGAAAACAGTCAGAATAATACTGTAAGGTAACAGAAAAGGCAATTGTATGTCCAAGACCAATCCTGAGCAGAATACATTTTGGCATGTATCTGAGACCTTGAAAAAAAGGAAGCCTCCAAGGTTACCAGCAGAGTCCATTTAAATTTCTATGTACCTTTTATTTGTTTTATTTATTTATTTATTTATATATATATATAGATTTTTTTTTTTTTTAAAGGAGGAGTGTTTAATTATCAGTTCTCAAGCAAGTGGTGGTTCGGCAAAATGTCAGATTTCCAGCTGAGACGCCACCAGTTTTGCTTGGGATTGTGTGCCAGGCGGCTGTATGGACAGGCAAAGACCTCCGACTGTTCGCTGAATGAATTTCCACTCGTGCCTCTCGACATTGATTGAAAGCGAAGGCTGCTGTTGGAGCCCTCAGGCAGTCTTAAGAAATCCATCCCTCCCTATGCTAGATCCTTGATGAGTGTAACTCTAGCTTCAAGAGAGACCGATGGAGTGGGAGGAATTTAACCCTTACGTCCCCTGGAGGCAAAGTGCTGTCATTGGTCTGAGCTGATATTCAAAGCAAAGGTAAAGAAAGAAAGGAGAATAATGAAACCAGAATAGGCCCAGCTAGAATCCTTTTTTTTCCTTGTCCTTTTTTTTTTTTTTTTTTTTTTTTTTTTGTCCCAGCAAGAAATAAAAGACATCAGCACAGAATCCATTCTAAGATGTTCTTTTGTTTTGCTTCTGAATTCATTTTAATATTGGAACAAAAAAAAAAGAAAGGGAAAAAACTAGCCTATGAACTAGGCGTTGAGCATTAGCTGCAATTGTTGCAGAAGGAAGATCCAGATTGGTGTAAATCTATCCTACAGTATCCTAGAGAACCACTCTAGAAGTGGTTCCTGAACTACTTTTACTCTCTGAATTTATGATTTAGTAGCAATAAAACTGGGATTGTCAAATACTGATTTTAATAGTGTTCCACAAGGTTAATGCGTATAGAAGCACCTGACAACCAGATCTTACTGAGGCATAAATGGGTGTTGTCTCATTAATGCCATGCCAATCCATTCTTTGCAGAGATGTAACCCATCAAATATAGCAAAAGTGTTTATTCATCACAAGGAAAAAAAAAAAAAAAAAAAAAAAAGATTTGCTTTTTTGCCACTCTATTTAGCATTTTTCTTAGAACTGAGAATTTTGCAGTATATTTTTAATATCAGGAATACATTGCTGTGAGAGCTAAATGAGACTGCAGTCTGTCATATCAACCAACTGAAGTGTGTGTTGTTTGTTGTTTTTTTTTTTTTTTTCTTTTTTCTTTTTATTTTCTCTATTCTCTATTCCCTTTTCTTCTCTCTCTTCCCTGCCTCATATTTCAAGGACCATATTTTGATTCAGTTCTTGTACATGTCATGTAGCACAGTGGGGTTCTGATACGTCACTTCTAAATATGACGGTAACAGCACTAACAACTGGAGGCAAACTAAGAAAAGCACTGCCACTGCAGATCTCAGAAACATCAAGTAGAATGAAGAGTGAAACATTAAACAAAAATTCTCTCAAACAGTAATGACAGAAAAAACACAGTTCATTAACATCCTGTATTTAAATAAAAATAATAATATACATATAATAAATAATAAATAATATACAATATATAATATGCAATATATGATAAATTAATAAATAATAGTAATATGTAATGATAAATAAATAATAATATATTTACATATATCCATCTGTCTCAGTGCCAAAGCTAATCAAAACCACCATTGATTACCATGGGATTTTGTTTAAATTGTTTTGTTTATAATTGTCCCCTAAATTCCTGACACAGGCATTCCCTTCTACACCAAATTGCGTAAAATCTTCTTTGTTTGTGCTGTTGGATTTTGGTTAAAAAAATAAATAAATAAAAATCCCATTTTCCTTTCTCCTAAATATAAAATACATATAAAATATAGTTTGCAAAACAATAATTTGCTTGGAATAGCAAAATGAGTAAATGAATTATTTTTTTTTAATTCCATTAAATATTTTTATTTTTAAAGTTTTATTTTTATTTCTGTCTCCTCTTTCTCTAACAGAAAACCAGGAAAGTTATATCAAAGTGATCATTTTCTGTCAAAAGGGAATGTTTATTTTGTAAATAGTCATTCAGTAGAATACCAAACCACTTGCTTCACGTTGTGATGGATACAGTGCTAATTAATGTTCTCCCAACTTGTGAGGCTTGAATTACCCCTTACTGAAAATAATGAAATGCTTACTATTGACGTCAGTGCATGCTGGATTGTTCCTCAAAACAGATTGATGAAAAGAGAAGGGAATCTAGCCCTGATTTCTGAAGTCCCTGAAATTACTGAACTCTCTGACATTTACTTCAGCCTCTGGACCATCAGGTTCTGCTCATCTATTAAGTTCAGTTAACTTCACCAAACTAGAACTGCATGTTCAGATGAGAAGGAGAAGCCTTTGTGCTGTTATTCACTGGTGGAACCCTTTCCTCAAATGCCTAAAATCACAGTACCTCCCTCTCTGACCAGAAGGTTCACCCAGAATTTTGCTTTCCTCTGCCACAGTGTCACACAGTCAGGATATGAAGCAGGAAGATATTTCATCCCCTGCAGGTGCTAATGGAAATATCTGACCCCTCTCCCACATCCCATCTCTGAAGAGGACACAGCTGTAGTGACTTCACTCCCCACTCGGGGTGTTTGTCCTTGATAAATCCCTGTGGTGGCTTCTGACTCTATTGTCTGCTCTCAGAATTGCTTTAGTTTTCCATCTAAATGGCAAAATACATGTATTGCCTTAGGCACCAGAACTTTCAGCTTAGAAGTGTCCTGCACTCCCCATGTGCATGCATGCTCACCTTGCAGTCCATAGCCCAAGGGGTGGCTGCTGCAGCAAGGTGCAGAGCATCAGAATTGAGATTTTAGGTTTCTGGAGAATGTCATAGACACTGAGAGATCAGAAGAGAGGTGTGTGGTAAAACACCCCTTGCCTCCTTTAAAAGAAGTGAGCCATATGCATTTAATTCAAAGTAGAGATGTATGAGACTGCCCCTGACGAGGAGTCCTGGGTACCAGACACCAAACAATTGAAGGCAGCTACCTGCAGTCTTGATCAGGAGTCTGAGCTCGACATATGGCCAAGATTTTCTGACAAACCCCAGTATTCTTTTTTTTTTTTTTTTCTTCTCCTTTCTCATCCCTTGAATTTTCTTTGTGAAAACGCTCTTTGAGGTGCCTTATACTTTTATTTCATCCTACGGAACAGCTGAGGTGCCCTAGAGGTCCTATAGTCTGTTCTTTGAGGCAAGGACTGTTAAGTTAGTGCCTCTTTCTCTCCAGCACCTTCCACTCTAAGTGTTTTAAATGGCAGATAGAATGACACTGCTACAGACTGGTACCTGACAGTAACTAGCACACATGTGCCATCTGAGTTTGTTTAAGGAAATAACATGCACTATAAGTGCAGCTCACTGCTTCTATTTTTTTCCCTCCATTGCTGCCTGCCTGTACATATGTGAAAGGCTTACTCCTGTATAAACCACATCAGAATATCTTTCAAATGGTTTCTTTGGTATTTCTGTTGTAATAATAATAATAATAATAATAATAATAATAATAATAATAATAATAATAATAATAATAATAATAATAATAATAATAATAATAACTATAATAATACTTTATCTGTTTAAAAGATAAAACAAAAGAAAGATCCAGTAAGATCCAGTAAATTCATCATGGGTATCGATTCACCTTGGGAAACCAGGCTATTTTCATGACCACATCATACATCTCTGTTATTTGCTATCTGTGGCCATCAGAAGAGCCATACCAATGAGGACATGCAAAGTAAGATCTCATCCAGGCAGTGCCTTCAGTTTCTGTATGAAATTTGGCATGTGATTATTTTTTTTTTTTTTCCTGATGAAAGTATTTTTTCCTGCTGAAAGTATTTTGCAATGGTTAAGGAAAAAGAATCACAGAATTGAAGGGATTAGAAGGGACCTCAAAAGATCATTGCGTCCAACCCCCCGCCAAGGCATACACACCTCTGAGCCCCAGTTTTTAAGGCCTATTTGGGAACATAATAGCTGAGATGGTTTCTTGCCTCCTACTTTAGAGATAACTTGTGCCCTCTGGCTCATAACATGGTTTTCAAAGTATGATGAAGACGTATCTCTAGAAGTAGTCCTGCAAATGCAAACTCCTGTTATGTGCTTACGTGAAGGTTTAGTTGTACAAATAGCCATAGATGGCATAAGTATGGCCTAAACATGGTATAAAATACTCCACACCTCAGGACTGACTCCACCAAGAAAGACAGAAGGATTATTGTTGTGGGAGACTCTCTTAGGGGAACAGAAGGCCTTATTTGTCGGCCTGACCCTACCCGTACGGAAGTCTGCTGCCTCCCTGGGGCCAGGGTCAGGGACGTTGCCAGGAAGCTTCCCAACCTGGTACGCCCCTCTGACTATTATCCTCTTATTATAGTCCAGGCAGGTAGTGACAACATTGAAGAGAGAAGCCTGAAGGCTATCAAACAAGACTTTAGGGGGCTGGGACGGTTAGTAGATGGAGCAGG